GCCCACTTGTCTCCTTGTGTTGTCAAGGCTGTCTGAATACCCTGTCTATTTTGGATTTTTTATTTTTTATTTTTTTATTTTTTTAGCTTTGGGGCAGATTGACAGATGCAGAGGACCATCATTTAGCTCAAGAGAGGTAAATCGATTGTCTCCTGAGGGGTTTGGGGGGCACGAGGTGTCCATTGGCAAAGCATTGATAAACTGACTAAGTAGCCCTAGGGGGACAGTTTTATGACTGTTGTGTTTATATAACAAGGGAAGGATGCCCATGTGGTTACACAGTGGAGAGAAGATTCTCTGTGGTTGCACCACTGAGTCACTGTTTAATCTCCACTACAGTAAACATACACATTTTTGTGTTTCAAAGCTGACTGTTATATGGCAATCCCTTTTTACTCAAAAAGAAAATGAAGCTAGGATCCGGCACTGTGGATGGTTGCATGTTACATCGATCCAGGGATTTACTCAGTGTCTTTATATTGACAGTTTTTGGAGCCACATTTGGGCACTTTGCAGACCTATTAGGCTCAAGTCTGGACCAAATCACTCACTACAAGCTGACAGTGTGCTTTTTTCTCTTTTGGGACTCCATGCAGAGGCCTTTTATTTGAAAGGCCTCACTCTAATTAAACTTAAATGGAATCAAATCAGCATTTTTGTCATTTTGCTGTAAATAGTTTGACCTTTTTTCTTAGCTGTGCTTTTGTTTCACACTGTGGCCATACAGATAGTCATTTTCATGACCCAGAGGTCAATGGTTAATTTACTTAAAGAACCATGGGCTGTAAAACAAATAGCTAATATACTTTATTCTAGAAGTGTAAAGACCAGCTGCACAGCAGAACATACCATTGGTACCTGGGTGCATGCTCTAACAGTGGCCTCATAGAATTGTGGCACTTGTGATAAAGCCACTTGATGGTCAGCAGCTCCTACTTTTGACATTCATCTCTTATCTGGTTTAAAAATATCTCTATAAGAACTCTCTGTCTCTCTCTGACATTTGACAGTATGAGAAAATGAACTTGTTCTGTAAATTGCAGTGCAATGTTCACTGAGGTATATTCATAGTTTTATATATGTTCATTTAGTTACAACCCAATATCCAATCTTGGACTGAGTTGGAATGCAAAACATAAAGTAGAAATGAACTGAACATGTTGGTGGACACTATCTAGTTTTCAGGGCAGCAGAGCCAGTTCAAGGGTTTTATCTGATGCCATGCAAATACGGCGTGCCTAGTAAATGCCACTGGGGTCCTTGATCAGAGCCTGTTGTGTCTCTGCTCAGAGGACCAGAGGAAACTGAAGTGTTGGCAGAGGGCCACTACTCTGTGTCAAGGGGAGAGGGTCTGGGTACACACACCAGATGCAGTATTCTATTTGCTTCTTTTAAAATTGTTTCAACTAGAATCAACTCTTTCTCTACTCACAATACTTTTTTGAACAGAAGGTTCTGTTTTACTGGTTTGTTGTTTTGTGCTCAACATTAAAAAGTGAATCCTGTCTGAACTGGCCAATAATAAGTTGTTTTTTCGGACCATTTTGCTGTTATAAAGGGTTTCATAGCATACCACCATACGTTGTTGGGTAACAGCTGTACCTGGACAAGTATGACAAAGTGTCATTTAACCCATGGTTGCTCATCCTGAGGCCCCTGGACTGCACTGATAAGTCAACCCATGGCTGGGCACTCTTACAAGATCCACAGTGACAATAATTGAGGTCCTGTAGGTTAGCGGGGAGATCCTTCCCCTCCTACGTGCTCCTGAGACAGAAAATGTAGTTACTCCTTTAGCTTAACACCTCTACCTTCAATCCATAACCACAAACTGTCTCCGCCCCCTTGTGTTTAACCCATTATGACCTTTTCCTTATCTCATTGGCTGCTTTTCATCTATCTGAATGCTATTTTTTCTCCTCACAGGCCCATGTATCCGTCACATCTTTCATCACCCCCTCTCCTGCCTTATTGCCTTTTCGTTGCCTTTGTCGGGGGCAAAGAAAAGAAGGCTGAACACAGGAAGAGATGACACAAGGGTGACTGGTTTCCATGGCAATATGCAGCTTGTCAGAGTGTTGTCTTTGCAGGTGTTCAATAACCATTTTTCCTTTGCACGATTTGCTCCAATGTCTGTCAGTCTGGGTAAAAACAGACCTCCATGCCAACACTTGTTCATGTCAATGCACCTCGTCTCGTGGAGAGATGACCCTAATTGACTACAAGAAGGTCCTTCACCCACACGGATCTTCCTCATGAGGGCGGGGAGTGCTATGTGACAGTTCCATGTAAATGCTAAACGCATGCTCAGGCCTACACAGAACGTCTGTATTTTTGGTTATGCATTGCAGCTGTGTGCACCGCGATGTGCTGACATATGGAAGTTGACAGTAATCAGAAGTCCCCCGTGTGGCTCTGTGTTCCCTCTGTCAGCCCGGGCCGAGCCAGGAGCACATTATAATCTGATCTATTTCCCCTCTGTGGCAAGTGACTATGGAGCCCTGGAGTTATTGAACAAGCTGGTTGACACATGGTAGTTTAGGCTTGCACAAAAAACAGACAGACAGGACAGTAGCTGGACATTTTTATTCACTTGGTGCCTTTTTGTGGCTTGTCTTTGCTCCTCTTCCCCCCCTCCACAGTGCGCCTAATTCCACCATTTTTCATCTTTCATTTTCCCAGCCCCCTGCCTTGGCTGCGCTTTCTTCCTCCTCATCCGTTCTCTCTCCTTGCCTCATCTTGGTACCCCACACATCACAAGCTACAGTGCAATTTCATATCAGTGGGCCTCAAGGGATGAAAATGGGTCATAACAACAATCCATGCAACATACAATTTAAACAGATTATCCAAAAATAGATGTGTAAATATTTGTCTTTCCCCCATTGTCAATTTGTTTACTGGTGCTTTGGTTGACGGACAGAGGTCAGCAATAGAAAACCAAAGATTGTTTTCTAATACAACAATAATTACCCTTGTAAATGTTGCTTATAAAATAATTCTAATCATCTGTCCATGAGAAAAATATTATCTTTGCATGGCTAGCATAACCAAAAATACACCATTTGTTTTATCTGCTGCTTAGCACTCTCTCATGGGAAATGTATATGCATTTTAAGAGCCTTAACAAGCAGACTATATAACATAAAAAGGTCTTAAAGGCCTTTAAAAGGCATTGAATGAGATTGTACATAATATACATTTTGTTTTATAATTATGAAAATGACCATGAAACAAATTGTATAGAAACACAGAAATTATACTTGGCAACGTTAAGAATACTCTATATTGCATTAAAATTCAGTTCCTTGGATCAGGTTTTGCAATTTACTTATTTAATATTAGAACATTAATTAATTCATTAGAACATTAATTATACTATGTGGTACTAGTTCTGATCAAACTCAAGATGAAACTGTTTAGGAAAAGTAAAATTTTATTTTATGTGATTTGTTTTTTTCAGTATCAATACTATCTTAAATCAGTATTTAGTTTCGATACTAGTTTTAGTATTGATTAGTGTCTGACTTATGATAGTTTTAACAACCCAGCAGGAATACAGTTAATCAAAATCTGATCTCTTGTTATCTTCTGTTCGGTGCATGTATTTAATTACTTCCCAAAACTGCTTTTTACCCACAGCTCTTATACATTACATTCAAAGTCAAAACAAACTCTTGCACTTTGACATCAAACGAAACATACTGAAGTTTCATTTTATTTCATCTCACCCTCAAAAAACTCACTATCCTCAAATTAATTATAACCATTCTGTAAAGTAGAAATTACCCAAATGTAACCGAATGTGCTGTAAAACATGATAGGTTGCTATTTTCACCACATTGGGCAGTGAAGTTGAAAGCCTTGAGCCCCCTGTAGTTTGCACTGACTCGGAGCAGCATGGTTAAAGAGACCCTCCTCTCTCCAGTGCTGAAAGGTCTTTGTTAAAGCAGGGCTAACTCCAAAGTAAGTTGGCCTTTAGACCTGACAATCACTGCATGCTCACAACATGGACAGCAATGATCGAGCTTCACTGACTCCACCTTGATGCAACCTCTGAAAGCTCACACGAGGCAAGGGGAATGTTGGTTTAGTATCTGTAAAAAAGTCTTTTGTGGCTGTGCAAATATTTAGGTCTCTTCCTCTGCGCTCCCTTGTGTCGTGCCTGTTTGTCCTTGGGCTCTTTCTAGCAACACCGATGTAGGAGCCCTGGCATGAGAAATTAATGCATAATAGAATACATTTTTAAAAAGTTGAGTAAGTAAATTCAAGTAATGATGAAGTTCTAGGGCTGCTTCCCATGAAAGAAAAAAAATGCATGTACTTTCTAAACCTATACTTTAGCAGATATTTTTAACCTAGTGCTATTTCTGAATTCAGACAACTGCAATTTTTAGAGTCTCCCACTTAAATAAATTGCAAGGAGCACAGTTGCATTTGCAACCATAAACTTAAGGGACTGCGCCTCTCATATAAAGTGGTGATTATCAAAGAGCACACACATACTGCAAGTGGGAAACATAACCAAGGACCAGTCTAAACGACGAATGAAGCATCCACTTAGAAAGACAGAAAGTCAAGCTTGTTTAAAGCTGGAGGAAAGTGCAGGTCAGTGCATATTAGAATGACATTGCTGTCTGTCTTCTGTGCAGCTCCAGCAACAAGCGCCTGCTGTTTCCTCTGGCAGTCCTGCTTTAATGAGGTTCAATGGGGCTTTTCTTCAGGCTGGTCTAATTCTTTCAAAGGCGTCAGAATGGCAGCACAGTTTAATTAATATCTCTGTAACTGTTGTGAGCTCAAGCCTTAAGCATATAACTTTTATTTATTTGAGTCTATTTTCCATTTTGAAAATACTCCATCATTGACTGCTTTTTTCTGACCTGTTGGCAACTTTATACTTACTTTTAATTTATTTGGTGATACTGCTTTAAAGAAGTATTGGAGGAATTTAAGATTATGTGAAATTTGGTTGTTATTTGTTACATGTGGTTGTCTTTCAGCTGGACCCAGAGAACACCGGATTCATCCCAGTGGAGAACTTCACCAGCCTGGTGGAGCACCATGAGCTACAGCTGGACCCGTCCAAGCTGGACATGCTGTTAGCACTGGTCCAGAGCAATGAAGAGGGGCAGGTGTGCTACCAGGAGCTCATCGAGCTGGTAAGTGGACAGCTCATTGTTGATAGTGCTCTTAATGGGCAGGACACACAAGCCACCATTTTCTGCCCTGCACACACGCAGACATGGACAGACTAGATTTTAGAAAGGTTACTGAATTGATTCAAACTGAGCCAGCAAGCATCGCAGTGGTGAAAATTGACTAAACCATTCAGGTCATCATTCTGTAAAGAAAGATCAACCCTTCACTTTAATTGGTCAGTAAACCGGATGTGCTATGGAAACCTGACATTCCTGGTTTATGAAGTACAAAGATGAAAATCTCTGTTGGCAATACTGTATTGCTTTACCTTGGTCAGCTCTGATAAAGCTCCCCTGTGTGCAGCAGAGCGACTCGTTAATTATGTGCAGAAGCATGTTTTCTCTCACAGTGAGAATATTGTGTATCATTGAATGTGCCTTATCCTAACCGCCACAGCAGATGGCTTCTCTAAGGCTGCTTTGCATGTGAGGTCCGTCTTTTCCTACGATATCTTCTAATTTTATTCATTTCCAGCTGTTTTTCATCGAAGAGTGTTCACAATAGCTCTCCTATTAGATATTCACATCAGGCTTTACATGCATATATCTCTCTGAGCCTGTTGAGGAGCACCTGCCTCAGCCCCTGGTACCTTAGGGCTCTAAGCACTAATTAATTCAACACAGTAATTCCTGACATATTTTGCTTCCTATGACTCTGTTCTCTGTCTTTACATTTTCTTGCTATTTATTTCTCATATCCCATATCCATTTCCTCTGGCGCCTCTTGTTTGAAATGAAGTCTGGTGCATGAGACTGCTCAATTTGCAGCTCAGTCCTAGGCTTTGCACTTCCCTCCTGGACTGCACATTTTATCTCCTGTAGCCAACTTTGAGCCTCTTCCTACTGTTAAGCTTGTGTTGGTTTTAGAAAGAAAAAAAATTCAAACTTAATACAGCAGCGGAGATCCTGTTAAAGTTGCCCATCAGCCAAATGCAAATTGCCTTCGATTAGCCCAGCATCGCTAGTAGCAGGCAGTAATCTGAGGTAATTTGAGAACGCCCAGCCTCACACAGATATCGACCTGCGGCTCAGATTCAAAGATTTGTCTGATACACACATGTAAGTGAATACATTTGCATACATAGCCCCTATTTGATGCATTGTGTTATTAATGAATGCAGCCACCCACTTTCCTCCTGCCTGTCTCGCTGGCTCCCCGTGCCGGCAGACGCTCATTCATACACATGAGGGCTGTCAGGGCACATTTGCTGACTAATTCTGTGGACGGACCAGTGCTGCTGATGTGAACTTGGACTCGCATTTCTGAAACACGTGGTTTGAAATCTCTGCAGGTCCACTCCTCAGAGGCGCTGCAGGGAGAAGCGTCACATGACATTTTCAACCAGGTCGTTTCCACAGATCCACCCCTGGCCCCTCTGCCCTTTACACACTGGTCTCACAGGACCTGAATCTCAGCACCTCCTCCTCTCTTTCACCGGCTTTTTTCAGTGGAATAATCCCATATATGACAGATAATGTTCATAATTCTTTTTCATTTTCAAATTCTTATTTTCAATTTAATAGCTAATGTTTGATGTCTTTGTTGATTCACTACCTTGGAGAGGACTATTACAATTTGCATGTAGTAAATAAATCTGCTGAGTTGCTTTGCATGTGCTTTTGACAATTTGGTTACACACAGGTTAAATACTGGTGGCTTATATCTCATAACTGACTCTGGAATAGTGGCTGATTTATTAATATTGTTCTACATTTATGACTTTGCATTCTCAGCCTTAAAGATATATTTATGGCCTTCTACCCTAAGCCTGGTTAATTTTAGTACAGTAGCCTGTGACTGACTGGGACCTGGTTTAATTGTAGTGAAGATGTCTTTGAGATTTTTTTTTTCCTTTGAAATTTAGCCTTTGTTTTCTAATGAGTACTTCTGTAGAGTATGAACATGGGCTTGTATTGCCTTAGTGTATATCTGTCTTAGTAAACATGTACATTTTTTTAAGCATAGCATAACTTTTTTCTTTTTCTTTTTTTACTTTGTACAGCTCACTTTCAACCCACTTATTCCATTTCACTCCCCAGACTCTTGTGTGTGTCTCCTCAGATTTGTCAGATTGTAATGCTTTCGGATGATGAATTTTACAACCTTGAAACTACATGTCTCCTCCTCCTCTGTGGGTGTTTGAAGCGCACTGTTAGGCCACGTCTTTCCCGCTGTCTGGGCCATAGTACAAGCCCGTGTCTGACATTGTACATGCTCCTGTTCATCTTTCATGGAGGACTTGGGCTCAGTGCTGCCAGAGGGGCAAATATGTAACGCTCCACTAAAACCTCTCTTGGGGAATCTTACACACACACACTCACACACACAGGGAGAGCAGAGGGCCGTGACGCCGCTAATCCGCTGTGTACATTTGCAGGAGAAAATATCACACATTTTACATGCTGTGACAACTTTCTGCACAATTGCACACAGCATGTCGCCCTGATGACACTGTGAGACGGGTAGGCCATGTGTCAAAGTTCACACATAGAGGGCTATCTGGAGCAGAGGACTATCAACATGAGGTTTAAAACAATACATGTTTGTTGATTATCATTCATGTTTGTAAGTGAATATGTTAAAGGAGACCCTTCTTACATTATCCAGGCACAGCTGTGCAGTTGAAGAAGTGTGTCATTGTTTCCCTTCGGGTGATAATTTGGCTGATGTTGGACGGGAATCCAAAATGGCTGCCATGGTTAATTACACGGGCAGAGGCTGCTGATGGAGATCTTGACTGGGAGGAACTGTATTGGATTTGGATCATTTTTGAGACTTTATTGAGATTTATGGCCATTCAAAACATATGTGTTTTATTGTAAGACAACTTTACACTATTTAGTGATTATTTCTGACAGTAGCACAAATACGTAGCGTAGAATATAAATGACAGAGAGCTAGAATGACAACACAGAAGTTTAGTTAATATCTATGCTGCTGAATCTTTCATCCAAAAAAAAAACAAAAACCCTACAATAATTTATTTATTTAAAGATTTTATTGTTTAAAAATAACATGAAAAGCATGCATCCGACTCCTCACTGTTGTTAGTGGGTTTGCATCTCCACAGACATGACCAGTAACATAGCTTAGACGTAACCTGCCACATTCTTTTCTCCAATGGCATGTTGCTGTTTTGACTGTTGACTGTTCTAGTTTTTCATAAAAATAAACAATTAGATCTTGATTTCATTATCCACTTAATAATGTTAATCGTGTTTGTTGTTTCAGCCTATGACAATAATTTAATTAAAATATAATTATTATAGCTTGTATTGGAGTCATAAGAATTAATCAGAAAATTTGTTTGTGAAAACGTTTGAGAAGTATTAGCAATAATAACAGTTGTTGACAAAAACACGTGTACCAAAGTTGAAGCTTGTGTGTGGGTCCTTGAACAAGAGAGAGCTGCATTTGTGTGATGGCCAGAGCTGATATAGTACTAAATATTTTTAGTCTACAAAGTGCAGACAGTGTGTCGGTCTCCAGGGAAACAGATGCCACCAACGCCATCTCATCCCACACCAAACCTCTGTCAGACCTCGCTCTCTAGATGCACTTTGCTCAGAGTGTCCTGGAGTGAAGTTTTTTACCCCACTGTCATGATTAAAGCATGAAGGAACGCCTCGGCCACGAACTGCACCAGGGGAAGAAAAAACAGGAAAGTCAGTCTCATTTTAAAAGGATTTGAGATAGAAAAGTCGTATGTGGATCAGTGTACTATCAGTGGACGTGATGCATAGACCTGCTGAGATTTAGACTCTGCTTTGAAAGTGTGTGTTTAGGGTTCAGTTTCACAAATTAAACCTCAGTGGTTATATTAATAACTTTGTCGGTGAATCATTGCTCACAGTTTCCTAATATTCTTGAAACTAGTTATTTATTGTGGTTGTGTTTACTCTTAGAACATTGGCCAAATCCTGTGTCATTCTTGCTTCTCCAGTACGCAATGCTGAGTGGTCTTTAAAGCCAATTTTTGTGAGTTATTATTACTAATGAGTATTGAGTCTTGAGTTATTGACCATGTGCTGGGGCTAATTAATCCATCAAGGACAATTGACGAGGGCTGAGAGCAGCATACAAAGGGCTCCACGCTGACACAGAGAACGAGAGAAAGAGGCAGCCTATTCTGACATCCCAACAGGAAGGCTACTATCTTTACACTATCTCAATTATTCCCATGGAGACGGTGGTTTGCCAATCGCGCGGGTCACTGGGTTGCTGCAATTGTCTTTTTTTATTACTAGTGTTGAATTGCAGGGCAGCTGACTGACCAAGGTAGTTCAAGGTAGAAGCCAGGACAAATACTTGAAAAAAAGGAAATGTTTTTAAATTTAAAAAAAAATGTTCTAGCATTCCGAAAAGACCTTCAGTGTCTCTTTGCTTATTGTTAGCATTTTGTACATGTCACAACTCAACACACAACAGACCAGCACATTCTTTCAAGGAAAACTCAGAAACTTTATATTTAGTACAGAAAAATAACAAAACGTTCTCCACTGATACACAGAAAAAATATGTCAATATAATATTTACTGTGACATAACTACATTGCTTTAAATTCTGTACAGCTTGTATGGAAAGATGGTTTGAACACCATCTAATTTTACAGCAAACTATAAATGGAAGACACTCTTAGTTGCTCTTCAGCTCGTTTCCACTATTATTGTGCATCTATGTAATGTTCTGAAATTAGAGCTGGCCCTTCTCACCTTTACGGCCCATTGCTGGCCCCTCAGAAACTCCAAATCTCATTTTGCTCTCTTAATTTCCCCTCTTCTCGTCCTAATGTCCCACTCCTCCTCTTCCTCTTTGCTTTGGGCCTCCTCAGCTATAGCATAATTTCATTTTGCTGGCCTGATTTCCATACTAAATACACATCCTTGCATCAGCGGGAGTGCAGCAGCCAACAGTTCGGCATTGCTGTGGTTATCGGCGTGCAACAGGCCCATTCCTCCTC